ACTCTCATGTACACATCAGCATAAATACCCACCCTCGAAGATACATACAAACATTCTTCCCGAATGAGATAATGTGACCGGAAAGTACCGAATCACTCAACGCCTCAGACAAATGCATTTGAATAAGCTGGAATGTTTCCTTGACTCAATCACTTGAATTTGCGCGTAAGAATGAGGATGTGTATCGTATGACAAACGAAAGCTGAGGAACTTTTTCACCGGAATCGAAACGAATTGTCTCGGTGACAGTGTCAATCAGAATTTTACAATTATGATATGCATAGTCTTCGAGACCATGAGTAGTTGCTGAGTAGTAACCTAGTAATCTCACGAAAAAAACTCTATTATTATTTCTTCGTTCATCTTAAACTAGTTAAGCTGACTGATTAATAGTTGATAGTCTCCAAAACCTGCTCAATTACTTCATATGCTCATGCTTAATAACGTAAATGACGCACTGACGATTCTTAAATATACTTACATTGAATATAAGTACCGTCGTGGATTATAATTGAAATACTCGCTTGCACTTTGACAATCCAACCAGAAAAGGGAGTTGGGAGAACTATGTTTTTATTTGACCTGTAACTAACTACACGGTGACAGTGCAGTGGAGTGGTCAAGTCACCACGACAATCGTGACCTGGACGCGAACCGGGCTGGGGATGCGGATGAGGGCAATTCAGGTGAAATGGCAACTGCACATGATGTTGAATGGAATTGTCTTTAAGCAGACCAAATTATGCGAAATTTAATGTCATCTTGTCGTGGGGCTATAGTGAAATATAAGTCTTTACATAACCTTACGCTTCCAAAACTGACTAGATCCTTATTTAATAATTGCTGATAGTCTCAAGAGCTAATCATATCGAAATGCAGTTAGTTTCCGGAATAATGGCTTAAAATTCCGTAAGGACTACTTATAACTAGTTAGTAGGCCTAAGGATAAAGAAGTTGTTGAGCCGCATAGGAGGCGACCGAAGTAAACTATTCTTGTTAATTGTTCTAAGCATGATCATAATTTCCATACGTCTTCAAATTGGGACCTTTTGAACCAATTGGAATTTGACATTTCAAACAATTAAGGGTTTTAAATGTGAAGGCCTGCACGTTCAGCGACTTTTCCGCAGCTCTGTATCTTTTAAGGCGACCGACTTTCGTCATTTCGCGTCATCCTCCGGCCTACATCAGCGATTTTTCCGAGGTACCGTCCGTTGAAGGTCCCGGGGCTCGTCTCATTTACAGCCCCGTAGCTCTCGCCGTGACAGTGCCCTATCGTTAATCGAGCCAACCGTCATCCTTAACCCTATTCTATCCACTTCTACATCTGCGATGGTACAGGTCGTTCGGACCTCGACGTAAAAGGACTGTGATCAACTAGCTTCTGCGTCCTAGGCAAAGTCTTCTGATTTGTTGCAACACGAAATGTTGATTGAAAGGAATTCGTGAATTAGTCTCGCCGGAAACGGGAGGAATAA